CCAGTCGGCCGGGGCACAGTGGGGCCATTCTCACCCTGAGACAGCCAGGGCACAGGTGTGCCACTCTTGGCCCAGACAGCCAGAGCACAGCTGTGCCATTCTCACCCCGAGACAGCCAGGGCACAGCTGTGCCACTCTTGGCCCAGACAACCAGGGCACAGCTGTGCCACTCTCAGGGCACCAGGGCCGACCTGTGCAAGGCAGGGCAGTGACGAAACACAGCAGGCAGAGTGGGTGTCCACAGCACTGCATGAGGGCGGCAAACATTATCTCCCTGTTCCAGAAGGACAAAATAGATACAGAATCACAGAATTTAAGGGTTGGAATGGACCTTACAGATCATCCAGCCCTAACCCCTGCCCTGGGCAGGGACACCTCCTCACTAGATCAGGTCGCTCAAGGCTCAGCCAGCCTGGCCTTGAACACCACCAGGGTCAGGACAGCCACCATGTCCCTGGGCAACCTGTGCCAGTGTCTCACCATATATTTGTCCCAGACAGGAAAAGAGTGCAGGTTTGTTTACTTTGAACTATATTCAGCATGCTGTTAGACCAGGACTTCCCAGATTTAGGTTGCTTTGACACTAGTGTTTGTGGCAGTTGAAGCAGGAGATCCAGGTGCTGGATCTGTACTTGGAAGTGTTCATGGTAACATGAGGAGCTCATTTCTCTGGGCAGTGTTTGTGGATAGCCATGTAGTTCCTGTTTGCCAACAGGAGAAACTTAAATCAAGATCCATGGTTTTCAACAGAATTGCCTGGCTTATATGGTCTTCAAGACAGTATTAATTTTCTATCTAAAGTTTCTTTCAAGTTTTCTGAACTAATATGCAAAATCATATTATTTCATTCTTCACTTGTTAGAATGTGCATTTTGTAACCCTCTGCTATTTTTGAAGTCTAACAAGGCTTGAAGCAGGAAGTTCAAGAGGAATGAAGCTTCTAACTGACCTTAACAGAGGAGAAATGAAAAAAATACCAAAGTTAAGGTAATGACTTACTTTGAAGATCTCAGAAATGGTGTCAGATCTGACAGGAGCTTCTTCCCACTCCTAACAGTTGCCCCAAAAGTACATTTATGTGTTTGGGATTTTTAAATTTTCATTGTCATACCGAGTTTCAGAATGGCATTGTTGTTTGTTCTGTTTTGTGCAGGTCACAAACTGTTTCTCCAGCCCAGTGTGCAGACAGAGCTGGGAAGGAGGTGCAGGAGTGGTCGGAACCTCCGTTAGACAGGACACAGGGAGTACAGGCAAGCTCCTGCCACTGGGACGATGCCCTGTGAGCTGTCAAACACTTAGAGAGGGGCAGCACACAGTTTCTTTTCAACTTAATACAACTTGGCTTTGTTTTGGCTTTTTTTCCTTTGTTTCTTGCATTGGTTTTGTGTCTTTTTGTTTTCTGTGCTATTTTGGGGGTTTTTTTAAGTAGCAGGTTGCAGCAAATGCAGATATTCTGAGTGAAAAGCTATTGGATGATCTGTTGGAAGACACTGCTCAGGAGCTGTGGAGCATGGAGCAGCATGAGAGATGCCAGACTGAGGCCCTGCCTATGACTGACACTCATACCTTAGAGTCAATGTTGCAAAGAATGGAAGAAATTGAAGTAAGATTTTTCTGTCTTGGTTGGTCTCATTAGTGCCAATTGCTTGATTATTGCCCATAAATTGTATTATCTGTAAGTATCTACATTCTTAAATGAAGCAAGGTCTGACTGGATCAGTGTCTGAAATGTAAAACCTGGAAGGAGTCTGTTCTTCCAGCAAAACACAGTGTAAGAACAGGAGAGGAATGCGTGATTAATCTGTTGCTGTAGAGTTGGCAGACCTGAGTTTGCTTCCCACCTCAAGACTTTGTGACTTAGATCATTGTACACGAATGGGAGAATCAGTATGGTGATTATGTTGATTGTCTCACAAAGTATTTGAATATTTATTAATTTGTGTTTTTTCCCTTTTCTGTGCTATAGAATCCCAGTATTTCAGTAGCATGAGTATCTCAAGGATATATGCTCTGGCAATGCAAAGTATTGCACAGGGCAGCATGGGGAAGTCAGACAAGTACATAGTTATCTGTGCCCTTAATTATGTAAATATTCATGAGGTTATAATTTGCTTGAGCTTTCTCATACATTTCTTCCTTTAAAATCTTTCTTCAGTCAGCTCTTCCATTGCTTTTGTTTCAAGTCCCATTTCAACCTTCCTATTGAGTGAAATCCATTGTGACTTAGAACTACTAAGTTGAGTGCCATTTACTTGTAGAGATCTGTTCATCGTTTGGAAGTGTGAAACTGCAGTGTCTTTGTCCCTGAGGCACTGGAGCACCCATTTGGATTCACTGTTGGTGAGGTGGGAGCAGCATGAGGGCCCTTCAGTTGTTTGTCTGAGGGCTGTTGGTCTGAAATGGGAGGAGTTCCCATGGGACTGGCAACTAGTATGGCATTTTGGACAAGATAAACATCTGTGATTTCACTCTCCCACCCCTTTTCTGAGTTCTGTTACCAGCCACAATGAGCCTGCTTTGCCCAAGAAGGATCATGTCCTGCTTTCCTATTGAATGCTAATCAGTACAGCTGAGTTGCTGTCTGTGGGACATGGCTGATTGACTGATGTTGTGTGTTCAAACGCAGAGATCCCAGGAGGCTGTCCGCAGGAGAGTCACCCAGGTGGTGTACACTGACTCCCAGTTCTGGGCCCAGGAAGACAAAATGGGTAACTGCCTTTTATAATGCAACTTTGTGTCCAGTTCTGGGCTTCTCAGTACCAGAGGGACATGGAGCACCTGGAGCAGGTCCAGGGGGGGACTTCCAGTCCCAGGGAGGGACTGGAGCTCCTCATTGATGAGGAAAGGCTGAAGGAGTCGGGGCTGTTCAGCCTCGATAATAGATATCTGAGAGGGACCTCATTAATGTGTGCATGTATCTGAAGGGGGTGCCAGGATGGAAACCAAAACAGCCACAGGTAACAGCAAAAACTGATGCATGGAAGTTCCACCTGAATATGAGGAATAACTTCTTCCCTGTGCAGTCACTGAGCACTGAACAGATTACCCAGAGAGGTCGTGGATTCTCCCTCACTGGAGGTGTTCAAGAACTGTCTGGACCCAGCCCTTAGCCATGTGCTCTGGGCTGGCCCTGCTGGAGCAGGGAGGTTGCACCAGATGACCCACTGTGATCCCTTCCAACCTAAGTGATTCTGTGACTTAGTTTTCCTATAGTCTGTAGCTTTAAATTCAGATGTTTTGAAATCAAAGTCATTGGGTTATGTGTGATCAAATAGCACCATCCAGACACATTTTTTTTCTATAGGTGCTTCTTTCACAGGACAGTTTCTAAAATGTGTTTTGGAAATTAATACTTTATCAGTTTGCTGTTCTTTATCCTACTATTTGATTGAGTAACACAGTGAAGCCACACTGATTTTCCAAGGTGAATATCTGATCACTCACAGACTTTACTGGAATTGTTGTTTAACGCAAGTTGGAAAGTCTCACAATAAGACTGGGGAAGATTTAGCCCAAATCTTTTTTTTTTCCATGTCTCAGATTTATTGCCAAGTTTAATAGACTGTGCTAGTTTTACAGTGGCATATTCTGTGTCTCTGCTGCAAGTATCCACTGGCACCACAAATGATTTATACTAAAGGCAGCATTTCTAAAATTAGCTCTTGAAATCCTATATTGAATTTACATTTTAGGGGCTTTCAATACTCTACTTACCAGAAGGACTTCCCCTTAGAAAGAAGCAAAAGTCTTTGTGAGGACCTGCAGAAGATGTAGTTTTTCTCTTTCAAAGAAACAATTTTAAATGTTATTTCCTTCCTTCTAGAACAGCAAATGGCATCAACAGCTAAAGGATTTATATCTCCTCATCCAGTTCAGATAACCAAGTTAATCGGAGACACAGAGCTAGAAACAGACATTTTATTTGAAAAACCTTTTGATGGCAAGTAAGTGGAATATTTGGCCCTACACTAAACTGTGCTGCATGAGATCTGTGTGTCTTCATTACAGTGTTTTCATTATACTGATCCTTCAAAAAGAGACTTGAAAATCTAGTTCTGTCTTGATGATTCTTTTATATTTCCAGTTATATTGATGTAAATGAAGAAGCAGAGGAAAAATTGCAGACCGGAAATGACATTCTGCAGCCCTTGCCTCTGAATTCTCTACAGAAAGCATGCTCTGAGTCTCTCTCTGTGCCAAGCCGTATGCTCCAGAGCATCTTGGATTATAACAGAAGATACAACCATCATTTAAGGCTTATTTCCCATGAGGTGGTGGGCAGGTTTGATCCATGGCAGATTGCTGAAAGGTACTTGAACTATCTTTGTGGTTTTAAAGTGAATGTATCAGCTGATGACAGGTTTTTCTGTCCTTACTCAGGGGAGGAGTGGGGAGGGGCCGTTTCAATTCCAAACTGAAAGCCAGAAGCTGTTGGCTCTCGGAATGTTTCTCTACAGGTACTCAGTGTTCATGGATTTTGAAGGTAGTTGGGTAAAACAAAAGGATATGGAAGTAGAATGCCTATCCCTTAGTACAAGGAAGAGGTGAAGAAACAGTAAACAGTCTGTGCTGTTTCATTCCTGGCAAAGAAAAATTGTTTCTCAGGCTGAAAGTCTGCTAAGCAGCAGGGCAGTGTAAGCCGAAATACACACCTTTGCACTGACACTTGAATAATTGTTTTGATTGCTCAGCAACATGTTTAGTAACTAAACTACATCACGGGTTATCAGTTCCTTGCACTTTTCTTGAGTAATTGCCTACAATTACCTAGAAATAATTTTCGATATATATGATTTATTTCAGAAATCACCTATTGGTCTTTGTGCTGGTTTGAAAGCAAACC